AGAGCACCCTGTGGCTGGGGAGAAAACTGGGAAGAAAAAGCGGAAATAAATGTGCAAAGAACACAAGTGAGGCCGGGAGGTCCCCGGGGCCCAGAGGGGACATCGCGGCAGGCAGCCTGGGCTGTGCTGGGGTTCATCTGCTGCTGGCCGTGCTGAGAGGGCTCTCGCTGGGGACAGCCAGACCCTCTGCAGAAAATGGGACCATTTGTGCCAGGCACAATCCCACTCTCCATCACGGGAACGGGCGAGTGGGGCAGGGCAGCACCTGACAGGGTCTCACAGTAGGCAGAGAATCGCGACTTCAGCTAAGCAGAATTGCACAGGCAAAGGCAGTGCTTTGACTCTGGGTTCAGGGAGGCTTTGTAGCCCAGGTGGTGCCCAAGGGCCACAGGTGATGGGCATGAGGTACAAAACACCAAGGGGGGACTGAAATACTTATGGCAACCATGGGCAGTGGCATTTGTCAGGAAGGGGCTGCAGTGCTCTCTGGTTCCTGCCAAGCAGCTGGTAGGGAGCTCTACTTCAAACCAGAGGCTGGAGAAAATGCCTCCCCTGGCTCCTCACCTGCTCCCTGGGTGGGTGGCTCATGGCTCAGCCTAACCAAGGACTCCTGAGAAGTCCCTGCTACGGATTTCCCTGTGCTGCTGCTTCCTCTGGTCCTACAGGTGCCTAAGGGTGCACAGCCCAGGGCTCATCTTCCAGAGCCTCGCTTGGATGCTGTTTGTGCTTAGACTGGAAGAATGGGTTTGTTTCCTTTTGGACTTAAAATCTAAATTCCAGAAAGGGTGAAATGCGGTGACTGGGCTGGCGAAGGCCCTGACTGTGCAATAAATCTGCAAGTGTGGGCCTGGCTTTTGTGCAGAGGGCTCTGCAAGTGCCAAGGTCGCTGCTAATAAATCTGACTGCAGGACCAGGAGGAAATTTTTTTAAACTTACTGCAAACAGCAGGCTCCTTTTTAACCATCTTTTTTTTTTTTTCCCCTGCTCCCTTCTGCTGATTCATGCTCCTGCTGCTTCGCCACTGGGAGACGCCAGCATTCCTGAAGGTCATCACTTGCATGCAGCGGCTCACGCTGCGGAGTGTGTGCCAGCATCTAGGAAATCGAAATGCTAAAGTGCCTGCGATCATTTATATTTTCCCTGGCAGTGACAGACAATCCACAGCTTGCCAGCTGAGGAGCTGCCACGTTTCCAGGCTGCTACACTGCTCCAAGGTAAAGGAGGTGCGTGAAAGGTGATGCCTCCCGAGGAACCCGACACCAGGTCACCTCGGTGGCACGAGATGAGGATTTTCACCTGGCTTCACCTGCAGGCAGCACTCTTAGAAATATAGAAACCCAGGGTTCAAGCAGGCACCCCTCTGACTTACACCCAAACCGTTCTGTCGCCCTGTGATCCCATGACACGGGGAAATGAGATCCGTGTGCTCACGTCAGGAGTCACGCTGCTGCCTCACGTCCCTGGGGGAGCAGGGCTGTGCTGCCCTCACCGACGCCTCCCTCCCCTCCTCTGCCTCTGCTCTCCACTCTGCTGAAGACTTGGTGCTGTCCTGGGCTGCAGAAAAGAGGCAGGACTTTAGGGCATGCTGGCAGCATGCAAACATCTCCGAGGAAATAAGTTATCTCTTAGTTTTCACAGCATGTCTCCTCTTAGTGGCAAAGGGATATTTCTGGTTTAGCTCCAGCAGTAACAGCACAACAGACACTTTTATTTTTTTCGGGAGAGCAATGAAGAAGACACACTGGAATCCTTCCTTTGCTTCTTCAGGTTATTTAGTGAGTATTTATACTGTGGCAGTACCAAAAGTCCTGCGTAAAGTGATGGGAAGACACTGTGTTACAGGCTGTGGTAGGTTTAGGAACTGTCAATTATTTAATATCCATCTCTTTAGAAGTGACCACTAATCTTTTACCCTTTCCTTTAAGTGTTTGTAGAAGAGCAGGATGACACATATATCACAACCACTATCATCTACCTTGGTTTCTTTTGAGAATATTTTAAGTGGGCCTTGAAAAAGAGGAGCTAGAAACAGCCCCCAGCAAGGCTCTGGTTTGTCCTCACAGCTCCTCAGCTTCCCCAAATCCAAGAGCTTCTCCCTCCCTGGACAAGGGAGCCTCCTGGCCTGGGAGGTACCCACAGTCTCTTTATTTTACAAATTTCCAGTTCAACCCCTGAAGGAAAATCAGTGTCCAGGCAACCTGACGGCACAGACAGGACAGCCCTTAAAGCAACGTGAACAAGCAGGAAAGCACCATCTCCGAGTAATGTTGACAGTATTTTTTGGCTGCAGCTCCTCGCTCGGCAGCAGGGGAGGTGCCACCCAGCAGGCATCTGTAACTCATCAAATCAATTAGTTTCTTTGTCTGCAGGAGGAGTTGTTCGCCAAAGACAAATTAAAGGAGCGTCCAGTAAGATCCTCTATTCTGAGAGGAGCTGTCCTATTTTCTCATACTAATGACAGACTCTGAAATCTGTGCACAATTTAGCTCGTTATTAGAACTAATTGGTGCCAGGCATTCCATCCTCTCTGATAGGGCTAACCATGGGGATGAAATTTTCCGAGTTAATGAACCAGAGAATGGATTAAGAACTTTCAAAGTGCAGTTCATATCACAGCTTAATTAGAAGGAGTATATTAGTTGGCTTTTTATGGATACAAAGGAAAGCCGTGTTTTGGGGTGGAAAAGCACATGCACAGCCGCCTTCCCTGCCACTGGGAAGCTGGGAATGTCTAATTTCAGTGGGGCAGAGCCATGGCATTTGAAGGCAGCGCCCTCCCAGCATGCTGTCAGCTGGAAAGAGGTGGAAGCAGGCTTTATTCTCTGCGTGCAGACCTTGCCGTTCCTCCTGCATAAGGCCCTGTGGGGAGAAACCAATTAGTGCAGCTCTCCCAAGGCCAGGGAGCTGCCAGGCGGATCCAGGGCCAGCCTGGGCACTGGGGATCCTCGGGATGTGGATCCACATCCTGCAGACTGTCATGCCCCAGTGTGCAGTCCTGGTGTTCTTATACCCATCCCACTCTAGTTGCTTTTTTACACCTGTTTCACTGAAGAGGGAATTTATATCACCCATTTTTCTGGCTCAGAGAAATAACTTTTTTTTCTGTGTGATTTAGACAGTTTCCTCCTGGAAGCGATGGAGAAGGAGATCCCTTTGCAAGTGTCCCAGAAACAGCGTGGAACCTCGGGGGGGGGTGCACACTGTGCTTGGCTTCCCCAAATTCATCAACTGCAGGTGCTGCTGCTCTCCCTTCATCCTGGAGTAGAAAGGTATCTGCCAGCTGCACACATAATATCTTTAAAATTTATAAAGAATATTATCAGATAAATATATAATTTATCATATAAATAAATAATACCATAATATCTTTAAAATATCTATTTTAAAGACTGCCTGTCTTTAAAAGCAGCTCCTGCATGTGATTTTTGTTAGCTGGGGCTAGGATAGCTAAGCTGTAGCATTTGTTTGGGGAAAAAAAAAGGAAAGGCCCGTTATCATCAGGAATCCTGGTTTTGGATTATACCTAGTGCTGTATCTGCTGGGTTTTGCAAATGTAAGTAATACCAAACAACCCAAAATTCCCAGGTGCTGATGCTACTGCTACCCTGGGTGTTTTTCTGCACCATCTGAGCTGCTTGGCCCCTCTCTCTTCGTTGTTCAGACTCCATAAAACTATTGAACTTTCTTCTCCCACCCCCCTTGGAGCTGGGATGTCCGTATCCAGGTAGCCCACTCCATTCTTCATGCATTATCTTAGCTCTTTAATATTTGTAAAATAATTTGAGAACCAGCGCAAAACAATAGCTGCTTTCCAACCCACTGGCAAGCAAAAAAGTCCTGTTTAGTATCCATTCATAGCTCTTAATTTGAGTCATGGAAGTTTTACCGCAACGTGGTAAGAAATCCTGAAGAAAAAGATTGTGCTTCAAGTGAATGGAAAATATTCTTTGTGTATCCTGTAGATTCCTCATGATGAATAACTGAGCATAACAAGGTTAAATGGGCTTTTCCTTCAGTTTTGGCAGTTCTATGAGCACACATGAAGCTTTGTGTTTCGCTTGCTTTCAAAATACTCAGCAAATAACTGGGAATATGATGGTTGATATGTTTTAATCCCCAAGTCTGGCCTTGTGGGTGGCCGTGAACCGGAGCAGCCCTGAGGGATGAGGCTCCCCCTCACAGCACCCGCGGTGATGGTGGGCCCGAGCGGTGCCATCAGACACCCCCTCACCCTCACCCACCACGGAGCACAGCCCGGGCAGGCTGAGGTTGGACATCAGGAAGGATTTCTTCCCAGAAGGGGTGATTACACACTGGGAAGGGGCTGCCCAGGGAGGTGCTGGAGTCGCTGTCCCTGGAGGTGTCCGAGGAAGGACTGGATGTGGCTGCACTCCATGGTCCTGGAAGTCTTTTCCAAGCTGAACATCCCGCGGTTCTGTGGGGTGTGAGCTGACAGCTTCACCCACACCTGTCCAGGAGGGTGGGCTGAGGACGAGAGGATGTCTGAAGTTGTACGGGGGAGGTTCAGGTTGGACATCAAAACAATTTCCTCACAGAAAGGGTGACTGGACACTGGAATGGACTGGGAGGTGCTGGAATCACCTCCCCTGGAGGTGTTCAGGCAAAGAGAGGACACGGCACTTGGTGCCATGATCTGTTTGACAGGGTGGTGTGTGGTCACCGGCTGAACTCGATGATCTCAGAGGACCTTTCCGCCCTAACTGGTGCTGTGACTCTGCGGGGTGCGGATGGCTCCGCTGAGGGGGCCATAGGCCCCCCCCCCCGGTCCTCCGGTGCGCGGGGCCGGCAGGGGGCGCTGCGGGGCGGGGCGGGGCGGGCGGCGCGGCCCGTGCGGTGACCGCGCGGTCACGTGACGGCGGGGGGAGCCGGCGGCGAGCGCGGGTGTCCCGGAGCGGCCCGCACGGCACGGACCGGCACGGCACGGCACAGCACACAGCACAGCCCGGCACAGAACACAGCCCGGCACAGCACACAGCACAGCCCGGCACAGCCCCGCACGGCACAGCACGGACCGCCGCACAAGGCCGGCACAGCCCGCAGCGCCCCGGCCCGGCCCGCAGCGCCCCCGGCCCGCCCGCCCGCCGCCACGATGCTGGCGCTGCTGTCCCGGCTGCTGGACTGGTTCCGCTCGCTCTTCTGGAAGGAGGAGATGGAGCTGACGCTGGTGGGGCTGCAGTACTCCGGCAAGACCACCTTCGTGAACGTGATCGCGGTGAGCGGGCGGCGGGGGGGCTGAGCCGGCCCGGGGCGGAGGGGAGGGGGCCCGGGAGCCGCTGCCCTCCCTGAGCCCCCGTGTGCCCATGGGACACCGATCCCACCTCGGGGCACGGCCCTACAGCCGCGTGTCGCCGTGGCTGGGCTTAGCAAATGTGCAGATAACATCGTGTGCCCTCAGCTGCTTCCTCCCTTCTTTCTGAATGGTTTGAGGTGTCACCCACTCACGGTTCTCCTCTCGGTTGTTTGCTTAGCCTGATTGCTGTAGCCTGTATCAAATAACCTCCTTTCTCTCGAGGTACAACTTGCTTCAGAAGTAGAGCTGACAAAGCTGACAGCAGCGAAGTGCTGCACTGGGGCCTGCTGGTCTGGTGGTGTGCCTGGAGCGGGAGAAGGAAGGGTGTGGGACTCCTCCTACACGAAGCTTTCCCATTGTTGAGTGAGATAAAGAGTAGCTTTGCCTAAATGGCTTAGTTGGCTCCACCAGTGTCCTGCTCTGTGGATATATGTGATGGGAAACATTCCAGGAGATAAGTTTGGGAGCTCTTGTAGGGAGACTGCAATGGGAAGCCAGGATGCCTTTTGGGTTTGCAGGGAGCATGAGGGACCTGAGTCCAGAGCCCCTGGAATGAGAGCTGATGTCTCCAGCCTTACAGTAAGCGCAGCTTCAGCTGGTCTTCCAGGGTTTTTTGAGGCTGTCTCCAGAACACTATGGAATATTTGTATGAATGTATTAAGTGTCAGGTGAATGAGTTGCTGGATAGGAAAACAACTTTTATTGTCTTGAATAAATTCATCCTTATACACTGATAGGTACCCTGGTAAAACAAAACCAAGGTCCTGTGTAGCTCAGGTGTGAGCACTCAGTGTGCTCCTTGATAATCATGGGAAATGGGTCTGCCCCCATCAAAGGTCACTTCTCTCTGACTCGTTTTTATGTGAAAGTTGCTGAACTAACCCAAGAGTGCCAGAAGCCTGTTCTTTCACACACTGCCACTACCTCTGGCCTTGGATTTCTAAACGTGGAGCTCTGGAATTGTTTGAACAACCTCGGTCTGTGGCTGCTGAGCTGACACTGCTTGGAGTGTTCTCGGGGCTCTGAGGTCACCCTGCAGGTTTGTTGTCTGCTGGAGTCCTCCTGGTTATGGTACTTGTCAGAGAACTGCTTTGCCTCTCTGTAGTGCCAGCAGCACGTGTTCAGGGAGTTACCTGTGAAGCTATGCAGATATGTGGAGCAGTTCAGAACTGCAAGAGCTGCACATCAGTTTAGCCCATCTAAGTGTTCTCAAGTGGTGAAAGTTCTCCTAAGTAAAGCTGACATCAGTTTGCAGCTTCCTTTGCTGGGGGTTGAATCTTGCAAGGTTTCAGCCACATGTTGGGATCACACCCAGACATTTATCTGAGTGTCATTCAAAGAGCCTTGCAAAACCCAGTGAAATAGGGAAGTTGTTGTGTGTGCTGACACAGCCTCCTTGGCTGGCTTGGTTTGGAAGCAGCAACTCATGTTTCTGAAGCTTTTAATTAGGACATCTATGAACTCTTTGCAAAAAACAGAGAGAGGGGACTTGCTCAGGGTTTTATTACTGATTTAAAAAAAATAATACCATAAGCCTCGGTCATTGGTGCAATATTGCCTTTTAGAGAAGTACTGCTGTCTGTGGCATGCAGAAAGAACTTGGTAGTTGCTTCCCTGACTGACTTTAGTTCAGAGTCTGCATTTGGGAAGGAGCATAGGAAAAGAATAACTGCTCTCTGCAGGCCAGTTAATGGCCTGGATGGATGAGGCTGTTGGGATTCCTTAAAACTAAAATGAAAGGAATGACACAGCAAGATGTCCTATAGGATAGCTTTAAAAGCTGGATTGCACACCAGGAACATGGTATGGCTTAGAAGGTTGTGTTCTGTGTAATAGAGCTGTTACCAGCTCGACAGCAGTGAGTTTAATCCAATATAAATCTCTAATGGAATCTCTGCCCATCAAGTCAGGCATATGGAACTAGAGTGAAACTCGACCAAGGAAGCTTGATACAAGGCCTGACTGCTGCTGAAGTGGGAGGCCTGACTGCTGCAGGAGAGGCAGACAGTCCAGTTCTAGAATAATCTTCTAGGTTGGTATTGGGTTTGGACCATATTTATTCCTTCAGTGTAAACAACAAGCACTTGCTTTGTAATCAGAGCAAACAAGGGCATGCAGTGGTAGGATAAGGGGGAATGGCTTTGAACTGAGAGATGGGGAAGCTGGATTAGATATTAGGGATAAATCCTTCCCTGGGAGGGTGGGGAGGCCCTGGCACAGGCTGCCCCGGAGAAGATGTGGGTGCCCCATCCCTGGGAGTGTCCAAGGCCAGGCTGGACCTGGGCTAGTGGAATGTGTCCCTACCCATGGCAGGGGGTGGCACTGGATGGACTTTAAGGTGCCTTCCAATGCAAACCATTCTGGGATCAGTTTGTCTGGGAGGTTTAAAACCCAGCCTTAGCAGTGCAATCTCGTTATAGCTGGATGTGGCTAATGCAGCTTCTGCTTTGCTGAGGCTCCGCATTAGTCACTGTCTCTAATTAGATATTAAGCCTAAGTTTTCCATGTGCGTGAGTAAACTTGCTCACAAGGGAGGATATCATTTCTTCCTGGTCCTAATTTCCCTAATGTGGATGGCCTGTGGCTCTTATTCGGAGAAACTGCCTGTCATCCTGGGACTGCCTCTGGAATTGTCGGCTCCTTACCCGAGCGCTGGAAATGCCCATTATTTACAGGGGCTGCAGTAGCTGGTGCTGCTTGCATCTCTGCAGCTCGTGGGTGTTCCAACCTTTCCCCAGCCTGGCTGTGGAGCTGGCAGTGCTGGCCATGCTGGTGTGGGAGGCACAGAGGGGCCCCAGCTCCTCCTCGGCCCGTGACGCAACTGAAACATGACTCAAGTAAACTGACTCTGCTCCCAGGCCTGGGCAGCATGTGCTGCTGGATAATGGGGCACTTGTTCACTTTCAAAGGGGTATCTCATGGAAGAGTGGCATATCCTGGCTGTTTTCAGAAGTTTTGCTTGAAGCCTGGTCGGTTGATCCTCAGTCCAGGTGTTTGGCACTGGAAGACTGAAGCTCGTTAGTCTGATCCTCCGATACAGTTGTTGGGCTTAAGAGCTAAAGTCAGCCTGTTTGTGGTGGCAGGGTAAATAAGGTCCCTGTGTAGGATTTGTGTGAGAGCCTGAATTAGTGTGGTTTGTTTTTTTAACTTTGGAATATCCAACACGCCTTGGAATGAGGCCTTTCTAGAGAGAGGCAGTTCCTGAAGCGCCTCTCAACCAAAGGCCCCTTTGGCCAGCTGGGAGCTGTGGCTTCCCTCTGGCCTCATGACTGTTATAAGTAACTTTGACTTAAAGAAGCCACATTGGCAAAGTGTGGAGAAAGATTGTTCTAGAGAATTCCACTGCTGTTTTAGGGCCTTCTGGAACACTCAGGTAGGCCGTAAATCCCGTGTGTTGTCACTTTGTAGACACAGTAGCTAAGGGAGAAGGGTGATACACTTCGAAGTGTTGTGTTTCTTAATGGCAGAAGTCTCTTGAAATGCATTGCATCACTTCATTAGCTAATAAAGCTACCAGGAGGTGACTCACGCTCTGTCTTTGAGGTCCTGCTTGCTGTACCCCCCAGGTGGGCTGAAACAGGTGACTGAAATTGGAGTCTACTTTTGCCATCGTGGTCCTGGGTTCCTGGTCCTTACAGAGCACCCTGTAAGAAATGGAGGAGCTCTAAGTAGGAACACCTGGATAAAGATGCTTTTGTGACTGTCAGAGGCATGAAATGAGCTCCTACATGACTGACTTCTAGAGAGAAATATGCCTTTTTCGTGGTAGTTATGTGATAAGTGGTCCATGTCCTTTTAAATATTCCATGGAATAGGGTTGGGGAAATAAAAACACCTTTTTTTGTCAGGTACTGCTGTTGTACTTTCTGCAGCAATCATTCACGGAGGTGCTGTTGTGAAGCCTTTCAAGGGACTGTGAGATCACAGGGATTGAAGCTTCTAAACTAAAGTTCAGGCTCTGAGCTGGTCACAAGTAGCTGGAACACTGAAGTATCTCCAGAAGGAAACTGGAGTACACACAGTTGATTTGTCCATCTATGATGCACTGCTTGGTGGAGGCTAGGAGTGTTGCAGAGGAGGCTTAGTGTAGGGGTAGCTTGATATGCTAAAATTACACTGTTTTTTAAATTCTTTTTTAAAGAGGAGATTTCTGAGAGATGTGGCATTTTTTTCTTAGTGTGAAAAGAGAGAAATTTAGGGGTGAACAGCAGGGTTTAATGTAATATGCTGGTTCAGGTGGATTGGGAGTGTCCTGGCTGGAATCCACACTCCTCTGATGTTATCTCCTAGTTGGTTAAGCTTGTTTGTGATCTCCTTCTAGCTGGATGAAAAGTAGTATGAGTAAAGATAGGACAATCTTTACTGTGTAGTAACAGGGTCTGTATGAAGAAATTGTCCTATAACAGTCATGAATCACCTCAGCTTTATGAGATGCAAACTAAAGGCTGCCCTGACCTTTTCTGCTGATAGAAAGAATGTCCTTGTGCAGGCTGTGGGATCAAAATCAAGCTGCTTCAGGGGCTTGGTGCGGACAGTCTGGGTGTCCAAGGTCAGGCTGGACAGGGCTTGGAGCATCCTGGTCTAGTGGAAGGTGTCCTTGCCTATGGCAGGGGGTGGAACAGGATAGTTTTAAAGGTTCCTTCCAACCCAAACCACTCCATCATTCCATAGCTCCCTGGAAGTTGAGTCTTATGGCTGTGGAGAGGCAGATGAAGTAGCCAGAGCATGGTTTTGTTTGTTTTGGGTTTTTTTCACTCAAGACAACTGGAGATGGTAGATTTAGTAAGCAGCTTGTTGTAATATTAATAAAGTATCAAAAAAGACTAAACTTGCATCCGTTTTACACTGCTGGAATGTCAGGTGATGGCGAGTTAAACTCTTGTCCCAAGTTTTCCTCTGGGAAATGAAGCGGCCCTGTAGCTGATCCAGCCACAGTGTGTGTGGGAATTAGTGCTGGTACTGGATACAAGGTGACTGAGCCCAGACTAATTTACGGAGCACAGTGCAGGGACTTAGTTCAGTCTGGAAGCAGTTTTGCTGCTCTGAGTAATCCTTATCCAACAGAAGTACTCATCCAGGTAAATGGGTTCATGTTGCACTAAAATCACATGTTTAGGTTCTCCAGGAGCTTTGAGTATCCAGAAGGGAGCATCTCTTAAACCAGGAGGCTTAAGGATCAGTCCCGTGGGTTCCTTCTGCATGAGGCCTCTGAAGTTCAGTCTGTTTAGTCTCCCTGCTCCTTATCTCCCACACAGGGGCTGGAGTTGAGTTTGTTTGCTGACCTTCAGTTTGTGTTAGCTCCTTGTGGTCTGTGTGACCTCGGAGCTTGTGCTTCATTCATAATCCCTCCTGGGACACAGGGCTGCTCTCCCAGGAGCCCTGCAGTGTCTGCCTGGTGGGATGGGCACAAGTGCTGAAAACAAGGCAGTGCTGCTGCCTGTGACAACAGCCACAGGCTTTGTGAGCAGAAATTGAAAATATTGCTGTGCATATCAAATGTGTTTTAAAGCTGGTGCCTGTTTTGGAAGGGGAAAAGCATCATATTGTGAGCACACGGTGATAGGGCTGAGTAATCTGCTCTAGGAGGGAAGTGATTCAAACAGAACTGCCTACCAGTAAAGGCATATTCCTTTTGTTCTGCTGTGTGAGTAGCTTTTTGCATATGAATACTCTAAGTTGCAGCTGAATTCCCGGCTTTTTTCTTCTGTAGAGGTAGTAAACAAAAGCTCCCTAAATTCTGGGTTTAGAGAACTGTTTCTGGGCCAAGACAGCTGAATGCAGTAGCAGAATCCATCAAAGGAGATCACTGCCTGCTTGCTAAATCCTCTACAATCATTTTAACCAATTTTTGACCTGTCTGAAAAAAGAAGGTGACTGCCAGTAGCTGTCTTTGGGTACAGTGCCTGTGAGCAGAGGAACACCCACCCATCAGAGGGAGGCCTTCCAAGTGAAGACCCGAGTTGACCATTACACCCATGTCAGTGCTGGATTGTCCCCCTGCTCAGCAGAGAACAGACAGTGAAACTCGAGTGGAACTGAGGACTCTGCAGTGGAGGTTTTAAGCAAGTCAGAACAAGTTTTGGGATGTGCAGCGTGGGTAGGGAGTACTTGGGAAGGAATATAAGATGCAGCAGCTTTCCAGAAGATTCTGTAAAAGTCTTCTTGTGATGGGTCACAGTAATTTCTGCAATGTTACATTAAGCACGTGGTACATGAGGTGCTGATCCACTCTGAAGGAATTTGTATCCTAAAAGAGCAGGGAGAGAACATGGAATTGATACTGAACACACTGTAATTAGTGGGATGGCTGGCAGTGGAGGGCTATAAACCCTTCAGAGGGATGGGCAGGAAAGGAGAGGCTTTGGGATAGGCTTGTGTGTCAGGAGTGTTTGCACTGTGTAGAGCTTGATGCTGCTCATGATAAGGTTGTTTATGGGTAAGAATCGGGGAGAAGGCCAACAAGGCAGATATCCTGGTGGGAATCTGTTCTAAACCACCCAGTCCAGGAAGAAGAGGCACCAAAATGCTCCTTAAGCAGCTGGGAGAAGTCTGACAATCACTAGACCTTGTTCTCATAGGACATTTCAGCTTCCCAGATATGTCCTGGAAATAAAACACAGCAGAGGGAAAACAGTCGGGGAGATTCCTGGAGTTCCTATTGATAGGAACAGCTCTCGAGTGAAGAATCTGGAAGCATCTGAGTGGGAATAGCTGGCAGCATATGGGGTAAGATGCAGTAGCAGAGAGATGGAGGTTCAGGGAGTGCTTGGGAGAGCTTGGAGAGGAGCTGTGGGTGTGGGGTGTGACTGTGGACGCAGGAATGTGGAGGCAGGAATGCAGTGGTGCTTGAGCAACCTGGCAAGTGACCCTTCAGGGGCAACGCTGGCTCCAGGAGCCAAACTGAGCTGCATCAGCCATGGAAGCACAGCCAGCCACCAGCTGCTGAGCTGCACGTGATGGAATGGACAGCTCAGACACGGGGATTTCAGGAATGGGGAGCTGATGGACAGGCATCCAGCTGGGCACCTTGCTGAGGTAGAAAGGTTAGAGTGTGCTCTGAAGCAGTGCTGCAGGAGGCTGATTCAAGCTCCTCTGTGCAGCCCTGGTCCTGCTGGCCACCCTGCTCCTGGTACAAACCAGGAGCTGCTGGCCTTCTTGGCCACCTGGTCACACTTAGTTGGTACTTCCAGCTGGTGGCAGTTGGGCCCTAACTGGGGTGTGTGATGTTTGCTCCAGAGATCCCAAAGAGCTTGGAACCCAGGGTGGCCTCTCTCTGCAACGTCAGGGAGAGATGCAGACTTTGCTGTGGTATCAAACCCTAATTAAACATCTGAATGCTTTTGGATCAACCTTAATTTTCTCAAATCTGGTTGACTGTCTGGTTCTATTACACATAATGGATGTAGTGAGCTTCATAATGGCCACTGTGGTGATTCACCTTGTGCCAAACAGCCAAGGGAGCAGGGCAGAAATCTGGTGTTGATAACACTTGTTATGGCTCCTGGGTTGGCTGCAGGAGATAGCTGGGAACTTGGGAATTTGGCTCTCCAGCTGCTACAGATGAAAGTGTAACAGACAGTAAAACATCTGCCACTGGAGAACCTCTCTAATGCAATGCTGTTTGCTGCAGTTCTGTCAGAGCTTTGGAGTGATGCCGAGTGTCTGGTGGCAACAGGCTCAAATACTTTCCAGCTGCATTTCATTGCCTTTCCCAGTGCTGACCAAGGTGGACAAGGCAGCCTGGCAGGAAGCTGACCCGTCAGGTCCTTCCACTTTGCAGCCTTCTAACACTGCTCAGGGAGTTACCCCATACCTGTGGCTTGGAGGCTTCCTGCAGTGGGTGATTTATTACTGTAAATGCTGTCTGTAAAGTAGCTTGTATCAGAGGGAGAGCTTCTGGATATTTCTAGCTCCCAGGTAACTGGGAGATCCTGCGTGTAGATCTTGGCTCCAGCAGAAGTAGGTGAATGGCTCTTTTCCTGTCCTTGTCCTGGCTGTCCGTCTGTTAAGCTGTGCAAAGCACTTCTCCCAGGTAACTTTGCTCCCTGACTGCCTCAAGGCCCAAACAATTATTTCAGTGCTTGTAAGAAATGACTTGACTGACTTCAGTACACATGGATGTAATGTCCAGGACTCCTTGGCCGTGAAGCCTTCAGCTGGAAGGCAAATGGTTAGAAAAAGCTTGTGATCTTCTACTGTGTAAACCAGCTGTGTCAGATAAGCACTAAACTTAACTTTTCTTTTTTTTTCCAGTCAGGTCAGTTCAGTGAAGATATGATTCCTACCGTGGGCTTCAACATGAGGAAAGTTACAAAGGGTAATGTTACAATAAAGGTATGTTGCCATTGTTGACTGTTGCCTTCAGCTTCTAGTTTAAAATGTACGTGCTTGCTCTGTTTTGCTTCCAGCCTTGGGACAAATATAGAAAACTGAAGAGGCTCAGCTAAATCTGTCAAGTAGCTTAAGAAGACATTTATGTTTATTTATGGAGTTTCTTAAATGAGAATCTGTGTGTGATTTCCAGGTTCATGGACTAGTTAAAGGAATCTTGTGATAAGGCTGTCTGGCTTTAATCTGAGTGCCCACAGATGCTGCTTTTCTACTCATCAGGATTGCTTACATCAAATGCAGAGTTTTAAGTCAATGCACCATAGTTTCCTGTGTACCTCAGTGTGTGTAACCTCAGTGCCCAGGTGTGTCCCTGCAGCTGGTGCAAGGTGCTCTAGTTTGCATCCCCTGCTGTGGGGTGTAAGATCTGAGCAGCTGTGCAAGGGATTAGTTCTGGTTTAACATGGGAGGGGTCCAGCAGCTGGTTAAGGAGAAAGGAAAAACTGTCTTTGTATTTCTTGTCTTATCTCTGCCTGACATGTTTAAAATAGCGCATGGCTAAGTTGTGTTTTTCCCTCGCCTCCAGATCTGGGATATAGGAGGGCAGCCGCGGTTCCGGAGCATGTGGGAGCGATACTGCAGAGGAGTTAATGCTATTGTGTAAGTGCCTGCCCTCAGCTCCTGCTCACCTCCAGTGTGCTTCTCTTCTCTGGGAGCCTCCTAACAGAGCATGCTTCACTCTCTAGTCCTCCTTGTATTTCTGAAACTACTGCAACCAGATTGACCTGTTTTACCCCTGAGTTCAGGGCTCAGGATGGGTTGGTTTTTTATCTTTCTGATCTGGAGTACTAACTCCTTCCTGTCTGAACTGGGTGGCAGTGCTGTCTAACTTAAAGCATCTTCTTGCTACTCTGGTCTTAAAGAATTTCTTTTTTTTAAAGAACCAAATTCTTTGCTCAGAACCCCGATCTTTGCTTAAAGCCTTGTTGAACGTGCTCAAACCTGGCAGTGTAAAGGAAAGACTGATGTTTCTGAAGGAGCTCAGTCTCACTGACCTAACCTGAAATTCTCTTTAAAGCTACATGGTAGATGCTGCAGATCGTGAAAAAATAGAAGCCTCTCGAAATGAGCTGCACAACCTTCTAGATAAGCCACAGCTACAAGGAATCCCTGTAAGTAATATCGCCTTCAACAGTATTAAATGCTTGAGGAATGTCATAACTTTAGCAACTCTGAAGTCTGCCTTGAACTCTTAATTGCGAGGCCTGACCTTACTGGTCAGTGTAGGCATGAACTGCCCCCAGTGCCTTAACTCTTAACTGTTGACCTCAGTCCATTTTCCAGTGATCTTATTTTGTTCAGTGCCCTCAAACAAAAGAAATAAAATTAAAACAGTAGTTTAGAGGTTTCCACAGTATGAGTTGGTACTCTTGTCTGAAGGTTAACCAGCGTGTAATACAGAAGTGTAAAGTAAGTTTGGGGAATCTCAGATGAAAATCTGCTGGGATTCTTCTCAGTTTTGTCAGCTGATGTGTTTCTGTGCTTGCTCTTTGCACAGAATGGGTTATTTGGACCCTCTCTTTGCCTGTGAATGGGTCAGGCTGCCTTTTTGATTTGGTTTAATAGTGAATATCTCACTCCATTAGATTTAATAGGCAAGTGCAGACTGTTTGTGGGACTCCAGGGTGTTTGTCTTTTTGTTGTTTTGTTTAAGCAAAGCTGCAACCATTTCCTTCTCTGGATTTCAGGTTCTAGTACTTGGAAATAAGAGAGACCTTCCTAATGCTTTGGATGAGAAACAGCTAATTGAAAAGATGTAAGTCTAACCCTTCCTAAGAAACATTTCTTTAACTCAGTAATGCCATGTACATAAGGTTGTTATTAAATCAGGAAGCTTGTATTTAAAAGCAGAAACCCAGCAACAGGAGGTAATAACATTGTACAGAAACAAGTTGTGTGGAGAAGGTGAAGGGGAGCATTTAAGTTCTCAGTAAGAGTCCCTGTGTAAGAGAAATTCATGCTGAAATGTTCTCTCTTTCCTAGGAACCTTGCTGCTATTCAGGACAGAGAAATCTGCTGCTACTCAATTTCTTGCAAAGAGAAAGATAATATAGGTAACTATTAACCCAAAATGCTGAGCTTTATGAAGAGCTGTCAGAGGATGATGGGCTGGGGGATTGTAACTTCTGAAACACACGTTGCCTGACTTCAGGAAATCAGAGAATCAAATGTGTGAGTGCACTGGGTAAATTCAGCATAACTCCTGATGGCAGTGAGGAAGCTTGACTGGTATTAAAAGTTGTAATGCTGTAGTTACTGAAACATATGTCAGTCCCTGTGAAATGTGCTCCTTTCTTCAGTTAGTTTGCAAGAAATAGCTGACCAGTCTCACCATTAGCTTGGCCTAAAGGATTTTATACTTTATCAGGTGCTCTCATCTCTTTCTCACTTGGGGAGAAGGGCAAGTACTTGAAGCTAGTTTTTCCTCAAGTCATTCCCTTGAAAGAATCAGTTTCCCTTGCTGCCTTGTCAGAGCAGTTTGTGCTGTGGCATCTGCTAATCACTGCAGCCAAACAGTGCATCTGTCTGGCACTGACATCAAATGCTTTAAAACTTGTGGAGTTCAAAGGCACAAACCACGTACAGTGTAAGATCTAGTACCTGACAGTGGTTTTGTAAGTAAACTGAGTGAAAACACAGAATTTAACAGCACTTGCCATCCTTCTCTCCTGATGCTTCCTGTGGCTGCCATGGCATTAACACTGGAGCATTGCCAGGCTAACAGAGGAGTTTGCTGGTGAGGAAGCTTCAGGGAGATGCTCCCAGGAGAAGCTCTACAGAATCACTTTCTATTAAGGATTCAGCTTCTTTCCAAGAAAAAAGAATAGCCTGTGGAACAATTCTGGCTTCTTCTCCAAGAAGCCTCTGTCTCCATCAGTTAAAGGCTGATGGATGGAAGCAGATACTCCCTTCTGTCGTATCCCACACGAGGCTCAGCACAGCTGAGCATCACTGAGGCTCTGGGGAAGGAGCTGCTGAAGGCATCAGGCTGGTGTGGTGCCAGTGCCTTTCCCTGCCTTAGGAGATCCTCTTTCAGGCATGGAGGAGCTTGATGCCTTTCACCCACAGGGCTAAACTAACTTTGCTTTCATCAGGTGAGGAGCTGCAGACTGGCCAAATAGAGCAATGCTGATCTAAAACTAATTATTGGAGCCATAGGGAAGTATCAGATTAAGGGATGTCCTTTTCCTAGTGGTGTAGGTGACTGAGGAACCAGGATTCCTGGAGCAGTGACTTTGTTACTTGAAGGATGCTGGGCAGCTACAGGACCAAAGCACAGACAGCAAGCATTCCAAAAAATGATCCTGTTGATCTGCCTTGGACCGTCCTCTAGAGAAGGGCTTGGACATTCCTGTACCAAAGCCATGCCAGTTATACAAATACAGACACTTGAACACCTCTCTTCTCTCTCTCTGTAGATATCACGCTTCAGTGGCTTATTCAGCATTCAAAATCTAGAAGAAGCTGAAGTCTTCCTGGAATCTCCAGTACCAGTTGGCCATAATCTCAATTGTCCACTTCCCTCCATAATGAGATACTACCCAAAAATCCTGTATCAAGAATCTGCCTTTTCACGGTTCATTTCTCATGTGCACTGCTGAAGACTTGTATTCCTATTCTGTCACAAAACAACTAGAGTTGTCATGATAAAGTCAGCACAAATATTTATTTTACAACCATCTGTGGTGGGAGGGCTGTGGGGGGGGCTTTTTAAAAGAAATATCTCTACCATGTTAACTACGATGGTACACTCTGTTCTGGTTTTTCAGGGCCAGGTTTTTATATGATTTTCAGCAAGTGTTTTATTTCTAGTGTTTAGTGGCTTGAAGATGCTGATGCTTGACAGCATTGAGATTCTGTAAGATGCCACATACAGTAGTTAGAAAACATTTAAGCGTGAGTTGTGGGATACTGATTTATCTCACAAATGCATGTGATGTGTGTATGTAAGCAGAGAAATGGAAACTGTTTGCAGAGGGGAGCACAAGGCATAGATCAGCATCACTAATCTACAGCTGAGATCCTGTCACTTGAAAAAGAAAACTCTCATGATGAATTAGGAAAGAGTCATCCTTTAAAATCGTTCTGTTGCTTCTGTTTAACATTTGTGCGGGGGATGGGAATGGACTGTTCTGTAAACCTTCGAAAATTGGAGTATTCCAGCATGAAAACAAATTGCTAGGAACATCAGGCTTTGTTCAAATACATTCTTCTATCTCCAGATACTCGTGGTCTCTGTCTGAAACCAGAACATGCATTGTGAGCAGCTGCATGACACCCCAGTTACTGATGTTCTTGTGTCGAGGCGGTTGTTGCCCTTTAGCACACTATCTGTGTAATTGTCTAGTGTCTCTCCTGCTCATGGAATGGCTGGGCACAGTTTCACCTGGTGCTATGGAATACCTGGGCTATTGTGACAACTCTAGACCTGCCTGCTTTTCGATGTAACCATGTGCAAAGCCTGTAAGATGCAAGACGAAATGTTCTACCGTGTCAAAGCACAAGAGAGCCAATGATCCTGTCTCTTGACTAGCTCCTGCAGCTTAGGGAAGTGTGTATAAACTCAAGATTGCAATGTTTTTTGTAGCTTTACTTTCTCAATGACTTCAGCCTATTTAAAGGGACAGACTTGTTAAGACTGGTTTGTTCACACAGCAGTGTCAGTGTAGCTTTACTCGTGTGTGCAAATCCATGGTGCCCCTGCCTGTGTTGCCTCACACTGTGTGTGATTCCTCACCTCAATGTGGTTTGCATCCCGTGGGAGTCTCGGGTTGGGAACATGCTTAGTCCCTGTCAGCTGTGACAAGCCAGTTTTAATGCAGACTGCCATGGCCTTACTGTTCTGTACCACCTCTGGCACTGTTGCACAGACACTACAAGCTGCCTGCGTTCAGTCTGAAGTTGCATTTTAACTTTTTGTCCCCTTTCAGTTCTCTGAAGCATGATTTCAGTTAATTCATACTCTGGTGCTGTAGAGGAGAGGGTAAATTAACTTGCTACTGTAGTCCCGAGTTCACCAGGAACTGCTACAGTTACCTTTATTTAGCAAACTTGCTTGTGCCTAAAATAAGGAACCTAAACTAGAATGTGTGAATCTTTGTGGGGGACCAGGTCACTGTTTAGTTAACTGGCCTATAGCTAAACTTGATGTGTTTGGTGTTTATATACTTCACTGCTTTCAGCGTTTATGGCATCCAAACACTACCAATTGTTAACCTGTGCATTACTCTCTGCATGTGAACAACTTATACAATTACTGAACTTTGTAAATACGTGAATTTTTTTATTTAGGTGGATGCATATGTTGGTTTACTGCTCTTCAGCTTTATTCAATAAACTTATGTTTTGAGGGTTGTATTGACACTTAACTGACTGACTTGAGTTGATGTGGCTGAACTCATGGAAACACATGATGGGATGTGTGCCTCCTCTCCCAGAGATGACAGTGGGGAAGGAAGGATACCTGAGCTGATTTAGGTTCTGTGGTTCAACTGTTCCAGTGAAATGCTCATAAAACTACCTTTGAGGCCTGGGGCTTGCTCAGCTTACCTGAGCAAGCTCAGCTACTCAGTCTCAGCAGAATTCAGTGCTCTTTTATGTTTATAAAAAGCACTGGGCAGCTGAGAGATCAGAAGTAGGGGCAGCCTTCTGGAGCTCTGTTTTCAGGAGAGAAATGCATGTGTCTGCAAGCTTCTTTCTTGTCAAGCCTAGAGTAAAACCTTTGTTTTTCTAGCACAAGTGTCAGATCTTGCAGTGCCTGATCATTTGCTGCCAGTTAAAGCAGAAAGGTTCTTATCTCAGTGGGAAGTGAGGCTTTTGTTGACTGAGGTCTGAAACAAAATCTTTGCTGTGATTGTAATCTGGAGTTTCATTGACTGTTCTTCCCAAAGGCTTTTGTTGCATTAATGTCTCTTAGGTCACTGATAATTTATAGGACTGTATGTCATCATCTTCCAATTAATGGTAACAAATTGGATGTGGTGTTTCAGGGCTTGCCTCCACATAAACCTCCAAACTTGCTGAGCTGTAACAGGTTAGTTTTTAGTACTGAGAGCAGGCCTTTTAGCATCCTTCAGTGTAACTTGGCTGGTGGGAAGGACTGGTGAACTGTTGGGTAAAAGAACATGTGTGTATTTCTTTGGGAGTTTCCTGCATGCAAAACCAGCTCCCTGGAGTTCACAGGCAAGGCAAAATGCCTCTAGACACAAATCTGAGAAGAGTATTAGTGCACTAAGCTTTGTCACCCTGGTTGCTCTGATACCAGAAGCAGTCACTTCAGTAAATCAGCTGTGGTATGAACTGGCCAACAGCCCTTTGCTTGACATGGTATTTCAGTAATAGTTTCTACTTCTTTGTGTAAATAGCAGGGAGAACCACAGGGGCCAGCTGTGATGTGTGTGCTCTAAAAGTACTTCACAGAATGTCCCCACTGGGGTTTCACAGCTAATTCTTGTCCTGTTCTCCCAGATGTCCTTGGTTCCTCACGTGGCAGGAACAAGAGCTCGGCCTGGCTGTTTGGTTCCAGTGCAGAGCATTGCACTGTCCCGCTTCAGGGCTTGATTAACTTGCCAACTGCCTCTGTTCTCAGCACCTTCAGCCTTGGACTGGAAAAACTACTCCCTCCTCTGGCACAGGTATGGCCAAGGTTAAATCTGGGTGGTTCTGACAGAGGTGTGGAGCCCAGGATGGGCATTAGCAGTGGTGTTTGCTGAGTTTGGATATTATAGCTGTGTTCTCGTAATCAAATCTCTTAATGATTACTTGTCTCGGGCTCTGTAGTGAGCCTGGACAGTAAAAAGAGGCTGATTAAATGTCCCATTCTCTTAACAAAAGTTGCTTTTGGGGGGGATGCACTTTGGTAACATAAACTGCTGTACTTAATCTCAGTAGCATAGTCCTGAGACTCCTCTGATGGAGGCCTTGGCTATTGGCATAATAAGAAATGCAGATCTTGTGAAAAGGCAAATGTTGAGCCAGAGAGAACTTTTGGTGGTGAATATACATGAAGTTAGGCAGCAGTCCTACCTTTGTGAGCCCCTGGTGTGTTGGCCTTGTCTGGTGTGCTGGTGGTTACTCTCAGTCCTTGGTGCAGGGTTTGTTCGGTGCAAGTGATCATGGAGCAGCAATGATTGGATTAGGAGTGTTTGTGTTTGCACCCACAGCTCCAGGCTGTGTGAAAGGTTTCCTTGGAGTGTTCGTGTCCTCTCAGCTTTGTGTGGATGGTGGTTTCTCTAAGTGCAATTACAGTGCAGGGTAATTCTCCTTATCCCTGAGTACAGCTGAGGGTCTGAGCAGCTGCACAGAGCAACTCTGTCCCACCGCTTGGCAACAGGAATGATGCCCAAAGGTGGGGCTGTTTTGTGATCCGTGGAACTAACAGTCTGGTTTCTCATTGCTTTGTGTTTTCTCTTTGCATCTCGATGGGAACAGGTTGGAAAGATGGTCCTTTTGGGATGCTGACATATCAAACTGCATAATCTTCACTTTCTGCTAGAAGAAAGGCCAAAGAAAATGCCTTAAACAGTCTCTCTGTTTATTAGAGGAATGTTGTGCAGGGATCTGTAATAACCTGAAGTATGGCTTAGCTGGATTATCAAGCTTTTAGCTTTCCTGAGGTTTCCTTTTGTCGTTGCTCTGGCTGTGCAATGGCATGTCATGGTTCGCTTTGTGCTTCCTCCAGCAGCACGCCCAGCACTGCTCCCCACTGCCCTGCCCTTGCACTGACCCTGACTCGAGTGTGAAATCAAAAAGGGAGTGTAAATCAGGTTATTTAATCTAGATTTCTAAGATGACACGGCCAGCAAAGCAGTGAATCGTGTTAGAGGAGAAGTAATGTGTGAGTGCCTGACACTCATGTGCTTCAGGGCTCTTATTCCCCAGAAGGGACTGTACAACTTGTCTCACTAGATCATGAACCACCAGTGAGGGCTCTGTTGCTTCAGGGCTGCAGATGCTGGATGTTAAAGTGTGTCTTGGTGAAACGTTGGGACTTTCTCTTATATGTCACTCAAGTGACACAGAATGGCACTCAGAGCAGGTTTGCACATACCCTTTAAAAGGAGAAGTGAAAAACTTGATGTTTTTATTTCCCTCACAGTGGAAGGTGGGTAAGTAGACCTTTGTGCCAGGATTAGTGCCTTTTAATTACGACATGACAAGTTTTATTCTGTTAAAGGCAACATCTATCATTGTGATAATTTTGAAGTGCTTCAATAAAGTGTTGATGAAAACCATTTTTTTTTTGCATATTCATCTGTAGTAGGACAGCTGCTTTTATTAGAAATACATGTGAAGCCTGATTACCTAATTGTGGGAAACATTTGGTGGCTTTAACTGCGTAACTTCATCTTGAGAGAGTGACCATAAGCCTCGTGCTCTGTGGGGGCAACTTTGAGAGGTCAGTCTGTGAAATTCCCATTTTGGATTATTTTTGCTTTAGGTGCTGGAAGCATTTCTTGGTCTCATTTGTATTTCTCTCTGAAAAGACTTCAACCACGGGGCTGAAGTTCCTAAACTGTATTATTTAACAAACAAAGCAAATACGTGAGTAGAGAAAGATAAAAGTTGTGGTGTGTGAAACTTAAAGATAAGCTTGGTTTTCACAAGAGTCTGAGTGGAGCAAACCGGTAAGTTGCTTGTGTGTATTAACGTGGGGTGTGGATAATTTGCAACGATGAGGAATTTCCCTCATTTTTTAGTGTCAGTAATGGATCCCCTTGGTGTGAGTAACATTTGAAAGATCCATGAATTCCACAGACTGAGGAAAGGAGCTGAAAGAGCAGCTTCATCGGTGGTGCTCCGTGCCCTTCCCGGGACACACCGCAGCCCCTCAGAGCGCGGCCCGTCCGAGGGGCCCAGCCCTGCAGGCGCCTCAGCCGTGCCCAGCACCGGGCCCTGCGCCCCAGCCCGGCCGGGACAGCGCCGGGGCCATCGCGTCCGGCCCGCCTGCCGCTCCGCGGGGCTGGGGTGACCCCGGGGCAGGACTGGGGCCTGGGACGCTGTGCTCGTGTGCGGACGCTTGTCTGAGGCAGCCGTGCGGGTCCCATGCCCCCGCCGTGCCGGCTCTGTCCCCGCCGTGCCCCCGCCCTGCCCTCGCTCCCGGGCGGAGCCGCCGCCCCTGGCCGTGCCACGACAGCCCCGCGCCCGCCCCGCCCCTTTAACCGCGCCGGGCCCCGCCCTTGATTGACGCGCCTCTCGCCCAATCGCTGGCGGCTCCCCTCACCTCCGTACCGGTTCCACCAATAGCGGTGCGACGTGGGCGGGCCTCGCGGCCCCCACCGCCCTGCGTTTCCCTTCCGCCCTTAAAGGGGCCGCGGCGGGCGCGGTTGGCGCCGTTGCGCCATGCGCGGGCGGCCATGCGATGGCGGTCGGTGGTGCTGGGGCTGCTGCTGGCGCGGCTCGGGCTGCAGGCGCTGCTGGCGCTGCTGCCCGCGCTGGCCCGCGGGCTGGGCCTGCACCCCCGCCCGCCCTGCCCCGGGCCCGGGCCCGGCCCCGCAGCGCCCGCCCTGCCCGCGGCCCGCGGGGCGCCGCTGTGGGGGCCGGCGCGGGGCGATGAGTACGAGCGGCGCTACAGCCGCGCCTTCCCCCCGCAGCTGCGGGCGCGCCTGCGGGACGCGGCCCGCGGCATGTTCGTGTTCGGCTACGACAGCTACATGGAGCACGCCTTCCCGCGGGACGAGCTCGACCCGCTGCACTGCCGCGGCCGCGGGCCCGACCGCGGAGACCCGTGAGTGACGGACGGGGCTGGGCAGGGAGTGGGGCACGGGGCTGGGATAGCCGCGTATCCATAGGAACGGCTCCGGGGGGACGGGGCTGGGATACCCGCGTATCCATAGGAATGCCCCGAGGGCTGTCGGGGCGGTGCCGGGCGTTTAACGGGAACACGGGAAGTTCCATCGCAGCGGGAATCACGGAGCGGTTTGGGCTGGAAAGGACCTTAAAGTCCATCCAGTGCCACCCCCTGCCATGGGCAGGGACACCTTCCACCAGCCCAGGTCCAACCTGGCCTTGGACACTCCAAGGGATGGGACAGCCACAGCTTCCCTGGGATCCTGTGCCTGGGCCCCCCCCACCCTCCCAGCCAGGAACTTCCTGCTAATATCTAGTCTGAGCCTGTGCTCTGTCAGTGTGGAGCCATTTCCCTTTGTCCTGGCACTCCAGGCTCTCGTAAAAAGTCGATCCACGTCTTTCCTAGGCTCCCCTCAGGTACTGGAATGAAGTTCTGTCCATGGAGGGTGTCCCAGTGCTGGAACAGCTGCCCAGGGAGGGTGTGGAGTCTCCTTCACTGGGGACGTCCCAAACCCACCTGGACACGTTCCCGTGTCACCTGCTCCAGGTGGCCCTGCCTTGGGAGGGGTTTGGCTGGGTG